CCCCCCCAAAAAAAAACAACAACAAAAAACAACAAAAACAACCCCAAACAATCAAACAAACAAAACAACCCCTAAACAAACAAAGACACAAAAACCAAACAAACAAAAGGAAAACACAAACAAAAAAACAAACAAATAAACAAATACACCAATAAACAAACAAAAGACAGCCAAGATCGTTAGCAGAGGAGAACTTTTATTAAAATTCTGGTATCAGAATTTGGGGTGAATTATTTCAAACTACTCATGACTTAGGGGGCACTTTTACTAGGGGTTTATAGCAGTGCTTGCCAGTCTTGGCAATTTTGGTGGGTAGTGATGGGGACACAGAATTCTACACTTAGAGTGTAGAATTCTGTGGATGGGGATCACCTGGGTAGCGACAGGTGTTATTTTATTCCCCGCCCCGAAAAACATATTATATTGATGGGCGGTACGCAAATTTTAGCCTCTACTGGTAGCAAAAGTGGGCCCTAGCCCCCCTCCCCCCTCTCCTGGGCTACTGACTCTTTCTGCTACATTTCCACTGCTACTCCATGACTCCTTAAGTTCTTACTATACTATTTTATCAGCCACGCTCCTGATCTTAGGGTAGGTAAAATCTAACACGTATACGGTATATATAGCCTTCTCGGAGAAGGGTAAAAAAATCTAGGAGGTCGATGCGCAAGTTGCGCACATTAAAGATCCTTTGGTGGTCCTAAAAATTGATAAGAGCTGAGAAGGCTTTGGCTGCCAGCCGAGAAAAATTCATTGGCAAGTTGTTGGAGATCGTATAAAGGAATTGATTGGAAAAAGGCTAAATAAAGTATAGACGATGAGAGCGAAGGAAACGGAAAGAAGATTGCTATTTTTCTGTACAAAAGAGTTACATAGTATCAATGGACGCTAAAATGGCGGCTATATGGAAACAAATCTAATCTTGCTTTGAGCGGCAGGTAATACACTTTTTTTTTCATTGTACAGCTACCCGTAGATATCCTATGATTTAATTTTTTTAAAAATTAAGGTGTAATGGATAATCTGAGATGCCCTCTTCACTGTATATTAAGAATTCAGCTAGATTCTAGATCTAGAGTAAGTTAGTGACAAAGTTTGTCAACAACAACAACAACAACAAGAAACACGACTCTATACTCCATGCTATACTTTGATACTAGAATCTAGATCTAGATCTAGAATCTAGAATCTAGATCTTTATCTATGTTGACTCTATACTAAAATATTAGTCCTAGACTTCGACCTTTTCATTCTAGACTAGGAGTGTACAGTACAGTGTAGTGCAGTTAAATACAGTCGAACCTGTGTAAGACGGAATCGCAAGGGAGCCAGAAAAAAATTCCGTCGTAGAACTTTTCCGTCTTAGACAGGGGGATTCAGTGGGAGATGGATATTGGGGGGGGGGGGTTCAAAAGCCCCGCCGGTGGGATCAAGGATGGCTTGTCCGATCGACAAGCAGTGGTCAAAACTTCACACCTCTCAGCTGCTATCCTGTCTGGATAATGACATGCAGTCTTACTTATCCAATTACCACCACTGCTTGACTTTCATAGGACCACTGTTTGACCTATTAAAGACAGAAACGTTTGAACATCTCCCTTGCTTCCTCCCTTAGCCCCACCCACCATTGCCACCCCCTCACTGCCTTCATTGTAACAACGATTCAAGGAACTCTTTTTCACGGCTGGCCGTACGATCAGGGCGGCAGGTATTGGTCAATATAATTTCACACCTCTGGCTTCTGGACCCAGGAAAGTTTCCTAAGTGGCTCGCTACTCGAGCACTATCACGGGCAGTCACGAGATTTCACACCCACACTACACTGACCATCTGATTCGCTCAGGACTCACATGATGGGGTAACATCTACCCCCAAATTGCACCCCTACTCCCCTCCCTCACCTAGCCGCATGACCACAATGTTAGTTTAGAGGGCTGAGCGGGCAAAGCATTTTCCGCTTTAGCCAAGTGAAATCCTCGGAAGGGAGCGGATTTTTCTTTCCGTTTCCGCGTTGGACAGGTTTCCGTTTTATACAGGTAATTAAAGTTAATTCTTTTTGTCAATTCACAGTTTTTTTTAAGTTCCTCAAAATCTGAGACTTGTACTCTCGGCTGTTCGCGGGCAGTACTAGATTTTAGATCTAGTTCTACCGGCATCCCGCAGTGCCCAGACGCTCAGCGTAACTCGGACCAGCCATTATAAACGGGTCAAGAGGTCATCGCAGGGAATTTACTTGACTGACAGATTCACTATAAAAATGTTGTTGCGGCAATTTTAGGCTTTGTTTAACCTGCGACTATGCGTAAACTACAACACCAACTGTGCTTCTAACCGTATTCTTTTAATAAGCATCATCTGACATATTTCTTAGAGCAATCATGCAGCTAATATAATTAAGTTAAAGAAATACGAGATAACGAAGAAAGAAAAGTGGATATAAGTCTAAACATTGATAAGGGTCATGATTTATTTAATTAATTTTGAACATGATGGTTGCTGACGATGTTGACAATTTTAAGATAGGCCTATTAGGTCAGAAATTGAAGAAAGTTTCAAACTCACTTACATCTTTGTGTCGTTCCATAAAGAAAAGATATTAAGTCTTGAGTGGAGATTCACAGCTTTTCGTAATCTGGCCTAGGTTTCCCAAGTCCAGCTGTCACATGTGACAACTCTTGAAAAAGGAATCTGATTCGGTAGAAAGACATCTAGATCTAGGAGAATGTAGTTCAATAAAATTTAAAAGATTGTGAACTGAGATCAACCAAAGTTATATCGTCTTGAAGAGGGAAAGCTTTGAGCTTTAAAATGGAGGGTCATGTAGTGATATAGCATTTTTAGATCTGGAGATATCGGGATGGAAAAGACATCACAAATCGGAGGAATTGCATTACGCAGGCAGGCGGGGGCGTACCGTTGGCGTCACGGTAGTGAGTACAGCTGACTGCTGATTTAATGACCAACACGTGGGTGGCACTGACAGCTGGCATTGAGCATTTAAAAGAGCGGTTTCCGGGCAAGCTGAACAGCCGTGTGTATTGCTCTGCCTTTTTTCATGAAGTTTTATATTTTGACTGACTTAATAACTTAATATGACATAAGACTTTCCGCCGACTTTCCTGTAATTGTGATTTAATTTGGATCCAAAGGATGTCAGTAATGAGCGTCCACCCTAACTAACACAATAAAGAAGAAACCTAATTCTAACCCAACTCCTACCCCTACCCAGACCTGCCTCTCATCCCGATTTTTGTCTTTAGAACAGGACCTTGATTCAAATATTATTTCAGACAAAAATATTTGGCAAACTCTCCTCAATGTCAATGGTTAATGAATCTTTAGGAATCACTGAACTAGCTGCCAAGTGATTCTAGACAGCCATGTAATCTTTTGTCCTGCTATTGATAACAATTATAACATGACATCAATAGTTGATTTTTTATGTAGGACCAAAATGAATCACTTTTTAGAAAAAGAAATTAATGTCAGTTTTGTATTAAATGACAACATTTATATCCTATCCTGTATGTTATGTTGTTCTTTTGGATTCTCTATGTTGGATTAATATGGGCTCAAAATGCTTAGAGTTGATTAACTGATGCTTTTATTTCTGCTTTCAGTTAAGATATGACCAGCAGTGCAACATGGCAAATGCTGACTCCGGATCTTGGAAAATTCTGGCTGATAAGAAAGAAAAAGAATGGAGAGGCATTCTGGAGTCACGGTAATGTTGTTAAATAATTGCAGACCTGCCAAAAGGAAAAATAATGTAATAAAATTGGAGCCCACCAGTTTTTTTAAACGCTTATGTAATGTAATCTGAATCTACTGAGATTCTGGAGACTGATTTTTTTCCCCCGAACTCCGATTTTTAGTGAAGGTTCTGAGAAAAACCTCTCATTTTTAGTCGTTGCATGAGGGGTTGGCAGGTCTGTAATTGCTTTGTACTCCAGAATTTTAATCTTGTTGGATCATTATCTAAAGTTGTTCTCCAAGAAATTTTCTGTCATCAAGCCTTTATCTTTTTAAAAGGCATACAGATCTATCAGAGACTCTTATTACATATTACACAATTTTTGAGAGACTAAAAAGAAGAGGACAGATTGTGGCACGCTGTGAGCTCAGTTGATATCATACTGGACTATGATTTTGGTGGATCTGGTTTTTTAAACTTTGGTTGTTTTGGGAGTTTTTAAAGCTTTCTACCAATTTGACTCTGTGCTATTTGAGAAAGACCATAAATTTGGAAGTCCTGCTTCTTAAATAATCTTAGTGTTGAAATGGGTGTTCAACTTATACAAAACAATGACCAGTGAGGACAGATTCGGAGCTTGCTGAAGGTTGTGCTTAGGTCTGGTATCTGGGCATCCAACTGTCTGATAACATTTCGTTTCTGTAAGTGAATCTGAATAACATTTTTTGCTTCACCCAATCTCTGGACCCCCTTGTCATGAAAAGTAGGCTCCTGCTAGCCTTAATTTTTTTCCAGAGCGTATATATATATGTAAATTACTTACCCATTTTAATTTTATTCTTAAAATATCCTTTCTCTTTCAGGATAGAGTCACTTGAAGCCACAGTGAAAGAAAAGGACAAAGAGTTGGAGTCTCAGAAGGAGAAGTTTACAGAATTAAAAGACCACTTCAAATACAATTTGAGACTGCTAGAAGAAAGAGACAGAGAACTGGAAAAGTATGATGCTACTTATGCTGGTATGTTGCGCGTGAATTTATTCCCTGTGATTTTGTAAGAAATTAATAATAATACTGATAATAGCATTTGTATAGCGCATATCCCTGCTTGACAGCAAGCTCTGTGTGCTTTACACTATATTATTACTCCAGCAGACCATAGAACACTCCGAAACAGTCTCAGTTTCCTGGGAAGCGTACAGTGCAAGCAGCTGATTAAGCTCTCAAACGCTAACAAACTGACAAGATCTTACTGATTTTTAAATGAAAGAGTATGGTAGCTAGACCTGCATGTTTGCCGACAATCGTCTGAAATCCGACAATCGCGACCCGACCCGCGAACCGGCCGATGCTATCGCTAGGCCCGCCTGTATGTCAATGTGCATAGTGCGAGGCTTGGCCGACTGCCAGTGACCCATTTTTCTCCCGTCGGCTTCGTCGGCACTTTCGTTTTCGTGCCGACCGCCGACGCGCGCACCGCCGACTGCCGACGTCGGCGTTTCCGACATAATTGTCGGAACCTAAGTAGAAATGCGAATACGAAAAAAGACGACAACTTAAATTGTCTACTTTCTGTTTCGTGCTCGAGCGGCCATTTTGAATTTCGTTTGTTGACTAATTCAATTGTTCAGATCGTGTGGATTCATTCAAGTCCGACTCTCTTGTTCTAATAGAATCTAGATCTAGATTTATATAGATCATTATAGTCCTCAATGGAGGATTCATATTCCAATTCTATTGTGTCAAACCCTATCATAGGTTGTGCTGTAATCTTTATATTGGTAAAAAATAAGCATTTCATCAGGTGCGTGAATTGTTTATTTATTTAGAGTAAAGATCTAGATCTAGAATCTAGACTCAGCTGAGTCCCTCTGTTGGGAATCGGATGCGGATTTCTAGTTCAAGGCCTATTCCTATTCACTTGTTCTACAAGATCTAGATCCAGATTTATTTAGATTACTAGATTTCTAGATCTATATCTAGATATATATATATATATATGAAGGATTCATATTATATATTCCAATTCTATTGTGTTATTGTATCAAACCCTATAGCAATGTAGATGTAAGCCATATATAGATATAGATCTAGAATCTAGATCTAGATCTATTTGATATGCTCCTTGTTTGTTTTGGAGTGTGGTTTTTTAATTAAAATTTTTTTTTTTCATTTAGGACTTGTTTTGGCCTTTTTACATGAGGCCCGTTGCAGGTTCTTTTTGGGGGTAGGGTTAGGGTTAGGTCTCTTCTTTATTGTGTTTGTTGGGGTGGTCGCTCGTTACTCGGATGTTTTTCCTTATGATTATGACACCAACAAAGGCTTTTTTTTGTGTGTGGGGGGGTGCGCAAAATTTTCAGACAATCTGGTTGAGGCTCACATGCAGGTCTAGGTAGCGTACTCCTGTTTTCTTTTTTCTTTAAAAAAAAAAATTCTTTTTTTTATGATCTTCAGATGTGCCTAATGTTGGTAAATGAAAACTGTTTCATTGCTGTAACTGACAAGAGAATTCTCTTCAAAGCTGAATCAATTAATGCCTTAATATTGATTGAAGAATATTTACTTGTTTTATAAAAAATGTATCTCATGTTTATATCTTATCAAATACTGAGTTTAATGTAATATTATATATATATATATATATATATATATACTCATAAGCTTAAGTTTTCCTTCCTGGTTTTTTCTATCTATGCGCTACTCAAGACATCCGCACAACTTTAAACTCTAAAAATGCCGAAATAAGTGAACTGAAGATCCAGCTTGATGACTTCAAGAATATCATCAAAAGAGAGGAGAGATCGAGAGATGAGTTACAGAGCAACTACCAAAGACGACTCAGAGAGAAACAGGCAGAGGTGGATTCATATAAAAGGTGCTGAATTTCTCATTGCTTAGGGTTGTGCTTTAATTGGCTGAAGTGGTGCTTTAAAAAAACAAAACAAAAATATGGGCCTATTTTTATGGTCCTTTCTTTATTCAATCATTGTTTTTTTCTTCTGTTTTTTTTTTTCTTCCTATCTTTCCTGTGTTGACTGTATTGTACATTATCTCTGCTCCTCCTGTTACCGTGAATCTATGAGTCTCTGCTTGTCTGTCTTTATCTCATCAGCCTACATTTGTCTGTTCAGTGCTTTTAACATCAGGTTTTGTTGCTAGTTGAATTAGCAACAGCTTAGTTGAAATTCATGACTTTTGTCGTTTTGAAAGTATTGAAGTATTGCTCTAAATGATTTCAAGTAAAACTTAGAGTGACCTGCACTTTAGTGAAGAATGTACTTTGTACTGATACTGACTGATTTTCTTTCTTTCTGTTTGGGCAACTGTTATTGAAAATTGTGAGTGTGGCGAGTGCTGAACCAACTTTTAGTCCCTTGTTGATTAGGTAATTGACTAATGATCTCTCTAAGTAATTGTATTTGATAGCTTATGGAATGAACAGTTCTGTTTTTCAGATATGACTGTGTTTTAATTTTATCCACTTTTGTGATATGACCAAATTCTTAAATTTCAGACCTGAGGACAAGACTTCAAAAAATGACTCAAATCTTGTGAAAACACTGTATTTTACGAGTTAGTCATGGCTGTGGTGTAATTATGTCTTGTTTTAGGATTTGATTTATTCCTTGATCATCTTTCAGTTGCAAGGATGGTGAGCTTCAAGAGGAGAGAAAAGAGTATGAACAATTCAGAAGGAATTTACAACTTCAGCTAACAAATTTGCACAATGAACTGGATACCCAAAAGAAGGAGTTAACAACAGGTAGGGAAACAACATAATATTAAATAGATGTTTGTATATTAGTATTAATTATAAATAGTAAATTCTTGTAGCGCCCACTCCCCAATTGGGCTATTGTCGCTTTACATCAATAATTAAATTAGTTATTCAGTCTCAGAAAATTGTTCACCGTTATCTATACACATATGTTGATACAGATGTACACACACACTCTCACACACACATACTCACACACACATACACACACATACACACATACACTCTCACCACTCGTAATTGAACAAGAAACTATTGAAATCACGGATTCATACAAATATCTTGGCCTTACAATAGACAATAAATTTACATGGCAAAACCACGTAAACAATATCGTTAAAAAAGTAAATCAGAGGCTGTACTTTCTGAGGAAACTAAAGTCTTTCAATCTGAATCCATCCATCCTTCAGATTTTCTACACCACCACAAT